GCCTAGGATCCCAATTCTGGGTGCTACTGGGTGCTGTGGACAGGAGATGACCTAGGGAGGGGTGTCACTGGCCACCTGAGCACCTGCTGCAGATTGGCCCTGGAGGGGGCAGTGGTTATAATCCAGCGCCTGGCCGCTGGGTTTGTGGTTGGGGAGGCAGAGCCTGCCTTGTTCGGGGTTCTTCCCGTTGGATTGAGATGAAAAGGTTCAGGCTGAGAGTGAGGGGCTGTGGAGGGTCAGGGTGGGGGACTCAGAACAGGCTTCAGGGGCCCTGCCCCAGGCCCGGAGGGACAAGCTGCACGTGGCAGGGCCAGGCAGAGGAAGGGCATTCCAGGGAGGAGGAACAGAGTGGGAGAAGGCCCAGAGGATGGAGGGCAAGAGGGGCTGGCTTGGCCCTGGTAAAGAGGCCAAAGGAAGAACTTGGGTGTTGTTCATACCCAGCAGTGCAGAACTCTGGGACTTTAGGCAGTTTCTTAACTTTGCTGAGCCCCAGCTGCAAAACAGGAAGGCCCTCCTCCTGCATGGGATTGCTCTGAGAGAATGTCAGGGTCCGATCGTTCGATTTGGGTGTGACACGCTCAGCGTGTCAACCTGGGGGCTCCCAGCCCTGCTCGGTGGGCCTCTTCCTGGTGGCCCAGCAAAGAGCAGAGCATCAAGAGAGCCACCTTGGCAGTGCTGGGCTGCCTCAGGCCAGGCAGACCCGAGGGGTGAGGGGCTTCAAGTGCTCAGAGTCCTGGCTGCCCCTGGTGACCCTGTTCTATTTTAGGCTCTGTCTCAGCAGACGAGGAAGCTTGTCCCGCTGCAGTGCAGCTAATGACAGCCTGGAGAACTGGAAAACTCTTAAAACGTGCGCTATTTTGATCCCCAGGAGGTGGCTGCCACTCCTGCCCAGGCAGCGTGAGCTCTGATAGGAAGACGGTCACGGTCCAAATCCCAGCCCTGTGACTGCACAGGATGTGCCACAGCACTCCCTCACTCCCTGGGTGTCTGGCACCTCTCTGCGCAGAGCTCTGGATTTAGGATAATTCTACCCTTGCTGTAGGACCCGGAAGTAGCCCCTGTCGCCTCCACCCGAATCCTCCTCAGGCCCAGTCCTGGCACAGGCAGGCCTCTGTCCCCATGGGAGCAGGCCACAGAGGGCGCAGGCTGTGTCCACCGCCAGCCGAGACCTAGAGCTTTTTGTGCCCACAGGACCTTTCTTCTGGGCTTTTTCATCAAAAGTGGTTTGAAGTGGCTCTTTCCCAGCGGAGCTGTGGGTGGCTTCCTCCCTTTTCTAAGAAAGGGCTTCCAGGTGGGCTCCAGGCCTGGGGTGGCGTCTGGGGAAGGGTAGAGGCAGCCTGAGAGGGGGTGTGCTCACCTCTTCACTGCGCTGTGATGAAGGTGGCGGTGGTCCTGTGGTGGCTGCGGTTTGCATTTAGGGAAAACAACATTTTTTTTTCCTTTTTTGGGTCTATTGCCTGATTTCTATGCAAAATGGACTCTGGAGCACAGGCTCCTTCCATCCTTAGAACTCAGCATCCTCGCTGCTGCAGCCACTGTCCTTCAGGGAGCCTTGGGGTCGTTCCCAACCCGGGAGTCACCTCCAGCCCACCTGAGGTTGAACCCAGGTGCGCTCAGCAGCGGAGCCACATCCCCAGCCCTTTTTCATATTTGATTTAGAGACAGGGCCTCGAAGAGTTGCTTCGGGCCTCGCTGTTGTTGAGGCTGGCTCTGAACTCTGGATCCTCCCGCCTCAGCCTCTGAGCTGCTGGGATGACAGGCATGCCACGTCTCCTGACTCCGCTCCAGTCCCTGTGTGCTGGGTCCAGTCTTGGATTGGCTCCCTCACTCCTGTCTGGCCCCATCCCACCTCTCCCCCACCACTCCTCCTCTGTCCACCCTGTGGGCACACATTCTGGGTCCTCTTCCTGCCTCCATGTGCCCGCTGTCCTTCCTGACCCACCTGGGTGCCACCTCCCCTTGGACACCCTTTGTCGCGTAGTTCAGGGGCTCCCACCTCCTCCACCAGACCAGGAGCTTCTGGGGGCGGGCAGGGCCTGCTGCCTGTCCCTGTGTCCCCAGTGCCCTGTTGCGAAGGAGGGGTCCGGTGGCTCTCTGTGGGCTACAGGTGCTTTGTCGCTCCTCCCCTTACTGAGAGACCCTCCCCCTGGAATCTCAGGGGCTGAGGCCTACATGGCAGGACTGGGGCCAGAGCCCAGCCTGTGGGTCTTGGAGTTACTCAGAGAATCAGAGCAGCGGCCCTGTCCCCCTGGCTCCTCCTGGCACACCCTGCCCTCCCCCATGCCTCCGTCCCCAGGGCCCGAGCACCTCGGTGGGGTTGGGAGCCAGCTTGGCCACGCCCTCTGCCTCACAGGACCCTGGGAGCTTTGGGCTGGTCCCCAGGCCCTGGGCAGGCCCACTCCAGCTCTGATTGGAGTGGAAGCACTTCCAGCTGTGGCCCAGCTGTTGGGAGACCCCACCCCTCTGGCCCCTGAGGCTTGTGTGGAGGGACAACTGCTGTGCCACATCCTCTCCTGGATCAGAGACCTGTGGCAAGCCTGGTGGAGCCTGTGGGGGGTGAGAGGGCCGGGTGCCAGGCCAGCTGCCCGGGGCTCAGGGCATGGGGCGTGCGTGTTTGTGGGGGGCTGATTCCGGCCTGCCCTCTCCTCCAGGCAAAGGCCGCCAAGGAGGAGCAGGAGGCGCGGAGGCTGCGGCTGCGCAGTGCGCAGTACCTGGAGCGCTACGTCTACCTGATCCTCTTCAACGCCTACCTCCACCTGGAGAAGGCCGGCTCCTGGCAGAGGCCCTTCAGCACGTGGATGCGGGAGGTGAGAGGCCGGTCCTGTCCCTGTGTGCTGCCGGTGGAGACCTGGTGGCAGGCTACCCCGAGGAGGGGGCACTGTGTCATCTGTCCTACCCCGGGTCTTCTGCACTTGCAGCGTGAGTTAGGTCCCATGGGAGGCAGCGGCGGCCGCCTGCTGGGCCGGGAGCCTGCTCCGGGTGGCCCGTGGCTGGCTGGCTAGGGCCTTGGGCACATCATTATTGCCCATTATCATTTCAGCCCTCGCTTGGTCCCTGCGGGGTGAAGAGGGCAGGCTGTGGTGTCCCTGCCCCCACCTCCTTTCTGCTGTGACCTTGGACAAATTGGTGGCTTCTCCAAGCCTGCCATCCCAACACTAAAGTGGGAATAACCTTAGTGGTTGGCATCCACTCAGAAGGTGGCGTTGGGTACACTGAGTGCCATCTGTCAGACCCAAGCCCACCACGTGTGCTCAGGAGGAGACCGAGCACACAGGAGTTTTGTTTAAGGTCATCGTTAGGACAGACACTTTGTTCACGCCTTGGCACCCCCAGGTCTGGAGACGGGCTCCTTCCCCCTCAGCAGAGCAGCCTACAGTTACCCTCTGCTAGGAAGCCAGGCCACCCGAGCTCACCAGAGAGGCCGGGTGACTCTAATTTATAGACTCAGGACTGGAGCTGCTGGCCATCCAGCCAGAGTGGGTAGGAAGGTATGGGGGTTCAGGCAGGGGTGCCTGTAGGTTCAGAGCTGCGGGGGCGCAGAGGCAGGGAGACCCCTGCAGCCCTAGATGGCAGTCAGGGGGACTGCTGAGGACAGGCCTTTGGGGGTCCTTGGGACATGGTGGTGGGGAAGCACAGGAAGTGAGTTCTCCTGCCCTTGGGTGGGTGTTGGGTCAGCAAGAGCTGGGGGGACACCAGGGCCACCCTGTGGACGTGCCTGGGCTCAGCTTCCTCTTATAGCCCCCGAGATGGGTGGAAGCGTGAGGGTGGGGACAAGGAGGTTTCTGTCTTGGGCTTTGTTTGGGAGAAGATATCGGGGCTCAGGAGCTGGGAGGAAGCTGGAGCCCCTCCCAGCTGAGCCTGGGTGTGGGGGAGGGATGCCGAGGAGGGAGAGCTGCTGGTCTGGGCAGGACCGAGGCCCCAGCCCCAGGACCCCTCAGCCCCTCTCTCCTGGGAAGGTGCCTGGGGGTGAGCATTGCCCAGGGAGAGGAAAGAAGGACCGTATTCCACTTACTCTAAGTCCCCAGGGTGGTGGCAGAGAGGAGGGGAAGGCTGTTGGGTGTTTAGCCTGGGCCTGACCTGGTGTTTGGTGGTGGGGCTGCATGCTGAGTGTCCAGGGAGCTGTGGGTGCAGAGGCCTGGAGCCCGACATGCAGCCCAGGGGTTCCTCTGCCTTCTCCAGCCTCTCCTGGGCCCAACTGGGGTGCCCAGAGGTCCACCCGGGCAGCTCTCTGTCCCCCTGTGCCCTCCCGAGTAGAGGCCACTAAGCTGCTGGGCGGAAGTCAAGGCTCAGGGAAGTGAGCAGAGGGGCGCGCAGACCCGTGGGGCCCATTGAGGGGAGGAGGGCATGATACACTGCCCTACTGCCCCTCCCCAGGTGGCATCGAAGGCCGGCGTCTATGAGATCCTGGACCGGCTGGGCTTCCCTGAGCTGGAGAGCCTGGAGGACCAGCCCTTCTCGAGGCTGCGACACCGGTGGCAGGAGCAGAACCTCGGTCCTGAGCCCTCTGCTGCTGGGGACTTCCTGTAGGGGCTTCCCTGCCTCTCCTGCAGGGCTGGGGGGACCCTGAGTGTCTCTGGCCGGGACTGGCCCTGGGGGCTGCCTGGAGAGCCTGGGCGGGAGCCTTTTGGGAGAGAGCTTCCTGTGGGACATGCAGACGGCACAGCCGCTCCTCATAACCCAGACGCACGTGGAGGAGCCTCCAGGGAACGACAGGGTGGACACCTGCAGGCTGCTGGCACTCGGCTTCTGAGGAGCACCCCTCCGGGGCCCACAGCTAACCGCCACCTTCCGTCCTCTCCAGTCCCTCTCAGTGGCTCTGAGCCCTGCGGGGCTGCTCCTTCCTTTCTTCCTCTTTTCTCGGCTCTCTTCACCCTCCCCTTTGCCGCCTGAGCCCGGCTGTGGGTCCCTGGCTGCGGGTCCCTGGCTGCCCCAGGTGAGGGGACAGTGCTCCAGGTGATTGATCAGTTTTCTTGTGTCTCTTGCCAGTCCCCAGCCTGGGGCACTGGGAGGACAAGGTGCCACGCTGGGCTGCCGGGGCCTTTCCTCTCCCTCCTTCCCACTCCCCTGGGGCTGGCAGGATGGTGGAGGTCCCCAACCAGCTTGAAATCCCTTTTAGGAGAGGAAGAAGTTTCCAGCACAGCAGGAAGTTCTGCTCCGTTGCCCAGCAGCCTGGGCTGCAGGTGCGGAAGAGCCAGAGCCTGGGGCTGCGGCCCCTCTGCTCCTCCTTCCTGTCCCACCCATGCAAGATGGCCCCACCTGCTGCTGCAGGAGCCCCAAGGACTTCGGATCCACAACAGGCTCCGGGGCAGCCCTGGTGAACCGTGGAATGTGGGACTGGGCCAAGGATGCAGGAGGGTCACCTGATTCCAGACCGTCCTCGCAGAGATCCTTGAGCTGTCTCCCCAGCCACAGGAAGGGCCAGACACTGCTGAGGCAGGTCACCGGAGCTACCTCGCCCAGTTAAAGGCGGCACGGAGAAGTGACAGAAAGGGCCGTGTGGGTTGAGATTGCCTCTCCTCTGTCTGGAGGCTGGTGTTTGCTGAAATCTAGGCCCTGGGCAGTGAGGAGCCTATCCTCCCACCTGGCCATGGGGCCAGGGAGGCCTCTCTGGGGAGCTCATGCCCATCTGCAGAAAATTAGGAGGTGTCCTTCTCGTTGGCTGCCATATATGAAAGGGAGAGAGGAGGCCAAAGCTGTCCACTTGTGCCCAGTGTTGGGAAGTGGGGACCCTGTTAGCTGAATTATTTTTGCAAAACTACTGTATGTCTGCTCACTACCTTTTCAGATTTGTTTTATAATTTTGCATGTACTCAAAAATTTTAATTTCTTTGCAGACAAGGTCTAGCTGAGGAGTCAGAGACTGGGGCTACACTGGGAGGGATCTCTGTGTTCTCATGGTTGACCCTGACTTTCAGCTGTGCTGGGACCACTGGCCGATCACTTCACCTCTCTGCCTCAGTTTCCCCATCTGTAAAATGGGAGAATAATACTTGCCTACCTACCTCACAGGGGTGTTGTGAGGAATCATTTGTGATTTTATTATTATTTTTTTTTTGTATAGAGCTTTTTGGCATTAAAAACAGCTTAAATGTGAAGTGGGCCCAGCTGCTGGTTT